AGAGCTCAATTGATTAATATTGCAGTGGTGAAGCCAACAGTAGAGAGCTCTACTAATAATCCGACTCTCAAGGAGTAGTGAAGAGCAGGAGATGTGCCAAGAGGAGAGAGAGAGAGAGAGAGTCATTGGAAGACAGAGGACAAGAGTGGATAGAGCGAGACAAGGAGGGAAGGGGTGAGGAGAGCCTGGTCAGGTAGAAAGGGGAGGGGAGGAGGACGGAGGAAAGGAGGAGGCAGCAGCTAACGCAGCATAATTAGCCTGGGCTGCTTGGTTACCTTTCAAACAAAGCTGCTGATTTGTGGAGCAAAGGAAGAGGAGGGGAAAAGCTAGTGAGACAGATAGAAAAGAGGAGGAGGAGGATAGAGAGAGATGAGGGGAGTGATTGCACCATGCCACACACACTTGAAGCTCAGTCTCCCTTGGAGACAGTGCCAGCGCTGGATCACAGTATGACAGTGAAACAGTAGAGTCTCCACTTCACTGCACTTTCACTGAGCTTTCTCCACTGAGCTGTGTCACTATCCAGACAGACAGAGAGAGAGAGGGAGACAGAGAGAGAGAGAGCACCAGTTACAGTGAGAGCCCTGGGCTGGAGAGGAACGGAGAGTCAGGACTGGAGTGCTGGAAGAAGACAGAAGAGTTGACAGAGATCTGGGAGGAGGGGGGAGACCAAGAGCGTGAAGAAGAAGCGGAGGAGTCAGGAGTCTGAGGATGCACAGAGCTAGCGGGACGAGCTGCTGAGCGTGCAGCAGACCAGGCGCGCACACGCGCACACACACACACACACACGCGCACACACACACACACACACGCGCACACACACACACACACACGCGCACACACACACACACACACGCGCACACACACACACACACACGCGCACACACACACACACACACACACACACACACTTCCAAGGGAAGGACAGTGTGTTGTGCCCCCAGTGGAGGATGAAGAAGCATTCAGCCCGAGTGGCTCCTCTCAGCTCGTACAGCACTCAGGTCCTGACCTGCCCCGTCTCTGAAGGTAAACTGAAAGAACCAGAGGCCCAGCACGTAAACTGTGTATACGTGTGTGTGTGTGTGTGTGTGTGTGCATGCTAGCATGAGATGAGTTATTGGCAGCATTAGCTCCGATAGGCTGCTTAAAACTATGGAGTACTTTTATTTTTATAGCCCACAAAACAACATTGTTTCCATGTGCAAGGCATTAAGCTATGTGCAGCAATGTGTCATATAATGCACAGGTATTCATAAGAAATACTAGTGTGATGTGGTTGTTTACTACTTAAATCTGTGGTATGTTGCATTAACTTTGAACATCTTAGAAAAATAAGCAAAGACCAACTGTTGAATTGTGTCTTTTCACCAAGACTTTCTGACAGTTTTTCCTCTCGATGGTGCAGAGACACATTAGTATCATTTCAGATTCCTGCTGGCAGAGCTGAGAAGCTAAACGTGTTGACAGGAAGTGTAGTTGTAGCAGGAGCATATGTTTGGTTGTTTCTGGCTGCCCTGTGTGGCCCAGCACTGATGTTGGAAAAAAAAAACAAAAAAAAAAAAACAGGCCCAACTCAGCTGCTTTCACATCTGTTCATTCCTCATCACTAAAAGCCTTGACTTCACCTAAACCCCCCCCCCCACCTTTTACTTTTGTAACAGAGATTAGAGAGAGATACCGCTAAATACCCTTTCATTAGTATCATCAGAACCATTCCACATGGTCTGACCTAATTTGGGTAAAGGCTTCATGCTGTTTGACCTGTAGTAAGCCTGCTGAGCGCAGCAGACGTGACTGCGAGCTTCAGATTGGATTCAGCAGGGCTCCATCCATCAATGTCACTGGCGTGCAGCGTCAGTGGCGAGGATAAAACACAGAATGGATTGAAATGTGAGGTTCGAGCAGCGTACTGCGTCACACAGAGAGGATAAGCGCTGTTAATGGGTGCCAGTAGTGAACGATACTTTGCAGCACTGTGATTTGAAATGAAATGGTATAGTGTTAATGCTTTGAAATACACTTCTATGAAACTATAGTGAGCTAACTGGCTACTGAATCTATTGAAATACACATTTTCAAATTCTAAAGAGTAATGTATTGTGTTTGGATCTTTAAATGCTGTTTTTTCTACACCAGTATCAGTATCAGTATGGATTGTTGTTCGATAGAGGTGGAAAAGAGCTTGTCTCAATTTCAAATTTAGGTACATACTATAAGCAGTTATTCTAGCTTCTTTGTTAATATTTAGCTGTATTTTTGGAGTGTCTATATTTCAACTTTGAACTATTTATTCATACTTCATATGATGTTATCACATTTTAACTACTCAAACCTTTGGAATATGAATGTTTCCTACCAAAACAAACATCCTCAGGTTCTCCTTTGCAACTTTTTAGCAGCATTATTAGTCAGCAATAACACTGTCTGTTATGAGAATACAATTTTGGCCTGAAGAGCTGCTTTCTTGAGGCAGGGGAATATTCAAGTTATAATATTACTGCATATTGGCAACAGATCAGCCTGTAGTGGCTTTTACTTCAGCACAGAAGAGCAGGTATCCAACACTAAAAGGTTTTGGTTTTGTCAGTGCTGTGAAACACAAACCATCTTGCTGGGTGGATGAGGAAAAAGCAGACGTAAAGACAGAAAGAATAAAAGAGCAGATTCTCTCTTGCAGTGATATCAGATTTCACTTTTCCAGTTAGAAACCACCAAGCTCATTAGGTTGATTAAGAATCCTTGCTGTGACCGAATGTAATTAGACCAAATCCCTCGATGATCCTGTAGAAACGAATCTGTATCGTGTTGAACATTTTGCTTTCACTGCATACTGCAGCTCTGCTTCCAGCTGGGATATATTGTAAGGTGAAACATTTTAACTGAGGTTTTTATCTGAGAGATTTTGGTGATAGATTCATTGCGACATATAGTTTGAAATGAGATATTTTTTGGTCTCTTGCTTCAAACATTAGCTTGAGTGGGAAATTTTGGGAAATTTTAGGTCTGCAGTGTGGGCAGGACTAGTGCTGCACTGACGCAGTGGTGGAAACTAATCACATTTACTACAAGTACTTTACTTAAGTACAGTTTTAAGAAACTTGAGTATTTTCATTGTATGCTCTTTTATCTTTTAACCCCAATATACTTTACATCAAAGTACTGTACTTCCTACTCCATTTTTTTTAAAATCCAGACTGACTGGATCATTTTCAAATTAAGATTTTACACAAAAACTTATGAGTTTATAAAATACATTGCATTGTATTTGGGTTTGAGGCCCAAAGAGGTAAAAGTATCCAATATTTCACAAATATGAGAGAAAAGTCCTGAATCTAAACATAAATCTGTGTCGCATTTCTTCTCCCTAGCCTCATTTATCATCTGACAAAGCCTGAGATTTGTCTTTTGACTTTTCCCAAGGGTGGGAACCACTAAACTATACATCCACCTTGACCAGCTGCAACACTAAATTCCTACTTACATATTGATGCATCAGTATTAACAGTCTAACAATGTAAAATATGAAAATATATCAGTCACAGGTGCCAGTTTTCTGCATAGTGAGCACTTTTACTTTTGATACTACAGTTACATTTAGCTGCTAACACTTCTGTATTTTTAAGATTTCAAATGCAGGAATTTTACTTGTATGGGGCATTTTTACATTGTGGTTTCAGTGCGTTTATTTACGTTGAGACTCTGACTGCATCTTCCACCTCTGCACTGTGACGGTGACTCTCTATCTGCAATTTCATATTCACCACTCTTTCTTGGGTAACACAGCTACAGCCATCACTTAACTCTAATACTCCTCCTGGGTGCCAGCAATGATCTCATGTATTCATTAGGTTTACCACATAAGTTTGACAGGACTGTTGAGTTACCCTCTCGGGGGAAGACACTAAAAAACTTACATTGTGATTAAAGGTTTAGTGGCATTTTCTTCTGTTTGCGTCCAATAAACAGGGCAGCTACACACATTAGATGGTACAAAGTGGCATCTCACCACACTTTAGGGAAACAACTGAAACTGCTACCAGTATTCTACACACACTGATTACTTGATCAGAGAGTTGGTGCTCCTCACACTGTGTACAGGTTCCTTTTGGACAAAAGAAAGAACTGTTTACTTGTGGGGACAATTCGCTTTCATTATACATGTCAGTGATGTTACTTGTGCTACCATTGCTTCACTTCCTGCTGAGGTCAAAAGACTATCAGATACAATAATGAGCAACCCTGAGATGTCCCCACCGCTGTAGAGGGGACATATGAGTTCCAGTCTAGTATCTGTAGCCATGGTGGAAATGGCAGAGCTTCACATGCTGAGCTAGCAAAGAGAGCACAGGCAGCAAACAGCCAGCACATGTCATCTTTTATTCCTGCCCTGGTGTAAATTGATCACACTGTTGAAAGATAAAGAACGGATGTGAGCTCTCTCCGGAAATGCTCACACACACTGCACCTCACAAATTCTACTGCAAGGCCACAAAGGCACTGGGCCAGATCTATCTATCTATCTATCTATCTATCTATCTATCTATCTATCTATCTATCTATCTATCTATCTATCTTTTTAGATTTTACCAACAGTCAAAACAGAGGCTGTCAAGGTCGACATGACTTTCTCATGGAATGTCATGTGGTTAGGTTTACTCTGTGAACACCTGACCACAACGGGTGTACAGCATGTGCTGCATCATGAGGCAACAAAGCTATTTATGACATGCACAGCCATGATGCTAACCCAACACATTTTAAAAAAAGCTTTGCCTCATGCATTAGTGCCTCTACAGCAAACTGTGGTAGTGATCACAAAGGACGATTGATCAATAAATGCTTATGGGCTGGACCCCAGCCCGGGAGTCTTACTGTAGGCTACATCATAGCATATATATAAAGATTTTACAACACGTTGTTTAATATTTGTGATGCTTATCGAAGTTTGGACAGCAGAGAAGCTACAATACCTTTTCTTTTCTCCTCTTGTCTCTCGTCAGGAGAGGATGGTTCGGAGTCGCATGCTGAGACACCAGGCAGCGAGAGCAGCGGAGAGAGCCGATCCTACCAGACCTGCACCAACACAGCCATGAAGGTGCTGGGTGGTCTGCTGATGGTGCTGTGTGTGTCATCCTCCTGGGTGGGCACCACTCAGGTGGTGAAGCTGACCTTCCAGTCGTTTTCCTGTCCCTTCTTCATTTCCTGGTTCAGCAGCAACTGGAACATCCTCTTCTTCCCCATCTACTACTCTGGACATGTGGTCACCACACGGGAGAAGCAGACCCCCATACAGAAATTCAGGTAATTTGCCTATAAAATCAAATTTTAATTCAACAAAAGAAAAAAAAAGAAAAAAAGAACATGAATGCTTGCCACTGTTAAAAAGGAACTGTAACACAAAGTAAGTTTTTGTCCACATTATAAATGCGGTGGAATGAAAATGAAAGAAGCCTCCTTTAAGGGACATTTACATTCAGCGGTGTCAGTTACGTCAGACACCAAAATAAAGGGAAATTATGTGGTAGTTATGTCTCAGTTTAGATAATTGTGCTGGCAATATTCATCAAGGTTATCCCGACTTTAAACTCAGCAGCACAAGTAGGCAAAGCTCAAGCCTGGTACCAGTTGTTCATGAAAGCTCTGCTAGTGGCCCCTAGAGGCCCTGGTGCTCTTTTACACTCAACTGGAACAAAATGAAACCATCTGACTGTCCATGAGGAACCAGGCCACTAAGCAACCAACATTTCCATCCTCACAATATGGTAGCAAGGCTAAAACTGACAAACAAAAACACTGTTCCAAGAGGAAAAACCGGATGACATGACTTCCTGTGGTGTTTCTCTCCAACAGGGAGTGCAGCAAGCTCTTTGGGGAAGATGGGATGACGCTCAAGCTTTTTGTAAAGAGGACAGCACCTTTTTCAATCCTGTGGACACTGACCAACTACCTGTATCTCCTGGCCTTGAAGAAACTGACCGCCACTGACGTCTCTGCACTCTACTGCTGCCACAAGGCCTTTGTCTTTCTCCTGTCCTGGATCGTCCTCAAGGATCGGTTCATGGGTGTTCGGGTCTGTATGAAAACAAATTATTCTGTTGAAGACAATTCCTCATACTTCAGGGAGATACCGATGTCACTGATGGTTCTTGATCTCTACCTGCAGATTGTGGCAGCCATAATGGCTATCACAGGTATTGTCATGATGGCCTATGCAGACGGTTTCCATGGTGATTCCTTTGTGGGCGTGGCATTGGCTGTGGGCTCAGCCTCAACATCAGCTCTATATAAGGTCTGACTGCTAAGCATATCACAGGTTGAAGTTTGTGTCGTTCAGTACCTGATATAAACTGAATGTTGTCTCCTCACCATCTAGGTGTTGTTCAAGATGTTCCTGGGCAGCGCCAACCTGGGAGAGGTGGCTCACTTCCTTTCCACCATGGGCTTCTTCAACCTCATCTTCATCTCCTGTGTGCCCCTCATCCTCTACTTCACCAAGGTAGAGCACTGGGGCTCACTGTCCTCACTGCCCTGGGGATACCTGTGTGGACTGGCAGGACTGTGGCTGGGTGAGAGTGCATACACATCCTGAGGAAGCGTGAGGATCATGGTTTCTGCCATGTATATCCATGAACAAAGCATATTCATTTGTTTTATGGCTGTAAATAACAGTTATTTTCGTCATTGGTTAAATTATTAAGTTATTAAGTTCTATATTAGAAGGTGCCATGTGGAGTTTTCTTGAAAAGTTGTGTTCTTATTGTGTGTTTCTCACCAAAAGACTTTGTGTGTATTTTTGAGGTCTAAACATATTGAATGCATTTTCATCCTCATAAAATATTTGTAAAGCAGATTTTTTGAAATATTAAAATTTTACATTGTTTCTATTCATGTGCACTTGCTAGCTACTCTCCACGAGCTACTTTTTGTTGGTGATTGCTATGTGTTTTCTTTTTGTTTGTTTTTTTTATGCATGTAACCGCCACATCATTGTGCATCTGCATGTGCATCTGCATGTGCATGACTCAAATAAAACATGGAAGAACACTACCAGTGTTCAAAAACTCCACAGGGTACCCAATCAATATAGATATCCATAATCAATACTCTGCGGTTTTGTATATTAAACATAGAAAATCCCAGAGCCCCAGCTGACATTACAGTAGATAGTCTGTCTGACGAACAATCCAAAACCTAAAGATATTCAGTTTAATATCATAGATATACATTTGTACTTCAGTATTTTCAACTTCTTTCATGTCTTTTTCAGTGTTCAACATCTTGGTCCATGTTGGTGTGGTGCTGACTTACCCCATTCTCATCTCCATAGGGACGCTGCTCAGTGTGCCGGGCAATGCAGGTAGGGGTTCTTTATATGCAAGTATTACTTCCGATTTACTGATTATTATTTCTTGATCATTACGGTGGAAATTAAAATGATTGTGAAATTAGAGCGAGTGGCCACACATGCTGTGGCTTTGTATTGAGAGGTCAGCACTTAGGGCCACTGAGGCAAACACATTACACAGCAAGCCTGCCTCTCACGTCCTGGAAACCCAATCATCAATGTGCTTCAACAGACCCTGCAACTATTCTCTCGCTGAGGGAGGATCAGGTTGCCAAGGCGACACTAAATGCCTGCAGACGAGTTCTTTTCTTTAACCACGATGGACTGTATGAAGGACAGTGGGTTACGCCAACTTGTCCCAGGGCTCCAGACCGCAAAAACACAAGAGGATGAAGCGGATCGCTTGTGCTGATTATAAGCCGCATTTGCTGCACTCATCCCCTACAGCCGCAGTGTCCTGTGGTTTATCTTACTTTATGTAATTAATCTCAGTTTGTTTTTGTTTTTCTCCCCCCTCCTCCCCACCCTCTCTCCCTGTCCCGCTCCCTCTCTTGTTCCTGTCTTTCTTCACCTGCCGTAGCCGTAGATGTTTTGAAACACGAGGTGATCTTCAGTGTGGTGCGCCTGGCAGCCACCTGCATCATCTGCCTGGGCTTCTTGCTGCTGCTGCTGCCTGAGGAGTGGGACTCAGTCACACTGCGTTTCCTGGCCACCATCGCAGACAAGAAGTCAGAGGAACACGGCGAGGAGCTCACAGAGTCCAGCGTCCACACTCGAAGCCGCAGTCGAGCAAACGGCACTGTCTCCATTCCCTTGGCGTGACATGGCTGAGTCTGCCAGTTGTCTTCGTTAACCAGTCCTGAAGCCCTGTCTGCTCATGTTCCTCCATTGCCCACCCAGGAGGTGTGGCGGGATGTCCGGTCCACATGGACTCATTATCAGGAAGACAGGAAGTAGTGTCTTGAACTTTTAAACTTCACTCTGGAGGTGCATCTCTGCCTCCGTCACTTCACTTCAGGAGGGGGAAAGAGAACATTTATGGATTTTGCTAATTGAAAGGGTGGAAAGTGTTATTTACTTTCTTGAAATACTTGCCACGCTCAGTCCCATTCCTCGCACGCACCCAAACCAAGAGCTGACTAGCCTCCCCTGACCTGCTCTGCAGACTGTATTCTGTGAATATAAATATTGGCAGAGCCAGTTTGGCTCAATCTTATATGTATTTACGATATTTATTTAGAGCTGTATCAATAAGAGTATTAATTTGAAGTCTTATTGAATAGCATTATATACAAGAATGGCAATTATACTATGTGTAATGTACAGGCTCTTTTGGTTTTATAATAAAAGACTTAAAACCCTCATTCACTGCAGAATATTACTTAGTTTAACTCAGGACCATGTGCAAGTGGCTAAATCCTTTATTGTATTGTATTATTATTTAACTATATTTTGGAACATATCTTAGATTTTCCAGTCATTTCTTTGACGCCCATGAAGGGTGCACACATTGCTGATGCTGCTGATAACATATCATTTTAAAAAATATTGAGTTTAATGCTTTAAAAACACTTCTATATATTATAGGCAAATATTTAGCTAGTAATTTTAGACTTAATAAATTTCAATTTGATTATTTTAGGCTAATAAATTAATCAAAAGTAAAGGGCACAGCAATAGGGGGAAAAAGTGAATGAATAAAAAAATATTATTATTATTATTGTTATTATCACAATCTCCATCATTATTATTAATATCATTATCATTATTAATGTTGTCTGTTATGTTGTGATTGCATTTTGTTGCGATTAAATTCACTCTCCACTTGAACATGAAAACATGCCAAATGACCATATGGCCAAGCTGAGACCAATATTTTGATGTTAAAGTAGCTAGATTTAAGATATGCAAACTATTTTTTTTCAGAACTGAAAATGTGGCCGTATAAGAAGCCCAATTATTGTTCTTAGCACCATACTTGTATCATGGCAAGTGTTTTTAGCAGAACCGAGTGGTGTGACTCATACAGTATTAGTAATCTGTAAAGTGCATTGCATTGATTTAGCAGTGATGACTTTGCAGAATTCTCCTCGCTATAATATATTATGCAATGCTTTTCTGTGCTGCACTTAGCTGTCCCTGACACACACACACACACACACATACACACACTGCAAACTGAAAAAGATTGAGAATGATTATTTCTACTATAATTTTTCACAGATACAAACGATATGTGGTAATAAGGCACGCCTATGTGGAAAAAGCTCATGGGACCTGTTTTGCCTGTAGAGCATAACACTGTGATAGGCTCTTGTTGAAATGACTCTCTGGTGTCACATAACATGGTGGCAAATTAAATTTTTAGTCCAAATAGTGCTATTGAGAAGATGAAGGTGTCAGTAAAATCATTTCTCAGTATTTTTGTATCACTCTGTCACACATGCACTCACATTCCCAGGAGTCAAACCACTGTGCTGCCATGGATGCTGGAGTACAGTCAGTGAGGTGAGACCTCTAATGAAGCATTTGCTGAAGTGACAGTTTCAGCTAAAGAGTTGTGGTGGCATTTTAACATATTGAAATAAATGAGCTAGAAGAAACTGAGGAATGTGTAATGTTCAAATTTTAATTCCATGTTGGTCCCTGGCACCCAGCTGGATACTGATAAGAGACGTTAAACAGGGAGGGGCCTTATGTAGTAAATGTAAACTGCTTTAGCCACAATAATATATTTTTGTACACAATCTTATTAAATACTTAATTTGTGGGTATTCAAAATACATGCAGAATATCTAAAGAATTACAAAATGCTGCTACAAGGTCTGGTCATATTACACGATGAATACCAATCAGCATCATTTGCTAAAAAGGGCCCAGCTATCAGCACTTTTAAAAGTAACATGATATGACTAATAGTGTTCCCCAAAAAAAGCTAAATCATTCAAATAATGACAGGAGTCTACAGCCATGCTAGTAGCTCTGTGTGTTCCAATAAGGCACTGCAGTGCTTTGAGCTAAATGCTAACATCAGCATCAGTAATTTGCTCACACTGACAATACTAACATGCTGATGTCTGGCAGGTAAAATGTACAGCCTATCACTTTAGTTTAGCATGTTAGCATTTTTACATTTGCTAATTAACACTAAAGGCAAAGAGTACAGCTGAGGCTGTTGGGACTGTAATTTAGAGACAGTGCCGTTTATAATTAGTTTTGCAGGTATTTGGTCATAAGCCTGATGGTGGCACTAAATGTTCAGGGCTTGTACTTGTGTACAAAGTCATTAAAAAACAAATAGGTCAACTTCATGGTGGCGCTAAAGGAAAACTCAAGGGATCACCTAATTTGATTCATTATTTGGGCACCATGAATGTCTGTAGAAAACTTCACAGCAATCCATCCAATATTTGTCAAGATATAATGGGGAACCATCTAAGAAATAATCACCATGTAATCTGTACCACACATGGACAATCTGCACCAGTAAAAACAAACAGAGGTCACATTTCTAAGCCAACCAATGAGGATACAATGTACAGTAAAGAGGGGGATGATAAAACTCCAGCTTGGCATTCAATACAATATGACCCACCTTCTGTAACAGTGTTTGTCTTCCCACTGTGGTTTGCTGAACACTAGTGGAGTCTCATTTTTCACTCAGTTAACAATTTCCTAAAGAACCTGCCTCATTCTCAATCGTCTGGGCTTTCCAATAGGGAAGGGGGTGCAGGAAAATGACAGGTTCTTTCAAGCATTAACTTTTGTGTTACAGAGTAACCTGTAGGGAGAGTTGCCATAGAAACATTGCTCATTATAATGAGAAAGTCAAGTATGAAGGCAGGGATGGAGGACGCATCAACTCTGTTAACCACAACCAAAAGTGTTTATTGCATTTGTACTTTGGCACCAGACAGAGATGCTTCAGGACAAACATTAAGTTTATCCTGGAAACAGAGAAAGCTGAACAGCCAAATTTGTGGGTGAAGTTATTCTGTAACTTCAAGTTTTTTTTATAGAAGATGCCAAAACTTTTTTAGATTTTCCACATGGGATAGGTCAACAACACCAGTGGACCTACAGTGACAGAACCTCTGTGTGACTGATGAGAAGACACGGAAAAGGTGAGATTATTAATGAATTAACACCCAACTTGAAGAAAGATTCAATAACTTTAAGACTTATCTCACTTTCACTGGAGCAAAAGTTAGTATTGTAGCGTGTCAGCCTTTGGGACAGAGAGCAGGACAATGGGCTCAACAGGCTCCAGACCCAGGTTACGTAGAGTGGCCCCATGTAATAGTCCAAAAGAAGACGGGGTGCAGCTCAAATCCCAATGGACCCTCCCTGGTCTGCCGGTCACCCTGGAGCAGCCACCAGGATCTTTGGGACAGAGGAAGACAATGTTACCTCCACTGAAACAGGAAATAACTCTTTCCTCTCTTTCGGGTTAGTAGAAGTTTGTCCTGTTTGTCCCTAATTTTTCAAACCACTCAGACTTTTATCATTTCATCTCAGACTTTTTACCCATCACTCTGTGTTGTGATACTCATTTTGATACTAGATAACACTGTACGCGTGTGTGTGTGTGTGTGTGTGTGTGTGTGTGTGTGTGTGTGTGTGTGTGCTATAAGAACCATGCTTTGCAGGAAGCCTGCCACAAATGCAAAGTGGCAATTCAAGCATCATTCATTCTCATCCACCACGAAGACCCCAGGTTAGCGCAGCAAAATCAGCTGCCTAGTAGTAGATTATTTACTATAACAGGTTATTCTTGCTGCCTGATTCATATTAGAAGTTTCTCATCTGTTCAGTCCTGTGCTGGGACTCTGGCACGCATAATTTTGCATCACTGTTTCTAACTGGTTGTGATTTTTACCCAGACATCGCATCATTATCTCTCCTCAGGCACTGCAACCACTGGCCCTTCAAATTGGCCACACAATTGCCATGGTAATAAAAAAAGAAAAAAGAAAAATCTGTCCCTGCTGACTGTCCCAGCATCCCTGTCCTCATGCTATTTTGAAACCCAATGAGGAATTTTGATGTCTGTTGTAGGGCAGGGACTGCAGAGATGGGGGTGTCCACCAGTTTTCTACAACCGGCCAGACAGGACTCTCTGGCACCGGCAGAATGATTCAGGTAAAGCATCAGGACAATTTACGGAAGAGATGAAGTGCATCTATAACATCAATAATTCAGATCATATATTTTTACACTGTGGGAAAATTAAAGTGTGCAGTGGTGCTTCAGAGACAAAGAGAAAGAGAGAGAGAGAGAGAGAGAGAGAGAGAGAGAGAGAGAAGATGGGTGGAAAGAATGAGGGAGGCAGCTGTGAGTGTGGGCCCCTCCTGTCCCAGTGGATCTGATTAAAGTGCCGGTGGAGTGGAAAGTAGGGTGGTCTACAGCCATGACTTGCCCTCAATGGGATCTATTTTCAGGGTACAGGGAACAGAAAAGCCCCCTCTATTAGATACACACTCGCAGACACAAAGAAAAGTTTAGTCTTGACAGTCATATGATACTTTTTATATAAGGGTTCACTTTAAATCCACTTCTGTCTATAGGACACAATGTTTACTATGTTTATGTTTAAGTACAAATCCAATAAATCAAGTAAAGTATGCATTTTAATCTACAGGTAAAACGCTTTCCTGAATGTGTGAATGTGTGCTTCTTGCTGTGGTGGAAGTAGTCAGACCCTTTAAGTTAAAGTACCAATGCAACAGTACGCCTATAAAAATACTCTTTTTGTCCTGTGTTGACAATTCTACACAAGTACAAAAGTATTATCACCTAAATGCACTTAAAGTATTAAAAGTAAAAGCAATAGAAGTGTAAGTAAGGAATAGAAGTATAAAGAAGCATAAAATGGAAACAATACCTCAAAATTCTACTTAAAGTACACTACTGGAGTAAATGTATTTAGTCACTTACTTAGTTACTACTTACCTCTGGTTTCTTATGACTCTGGCCTTTCTAGGGAAGATTTCTGGAGGCCCAGACAGCTCTAACTCGACAGGATTATCGGCGTCGTCGAGCTCACCTCCGACAAGCCAGAGAGCAGGGAAGACATAAGGTTGTCTACACAGTCAATGGTAGGAACATAAATGATAATTTTAACAACTGGGACAAAGTCTAACTGAAGTCTAACTGAATGTGATCTATTGATCGTCTGCTTCTTTCATTTGGACATTTATTCGGAGATCCAAATACAGAGGGGATTCAGAGGCTGAAACTTGTGAGGAGGCCCACAGAGAGGGACATCTTCTGGGATGAGACCACAGGAGAAAGTCTGGACCCCACCTGCCTTCTGGAGCAAACACCTCTTCCTCCGATCTCTTCCTTCTGCCGACCCAACAAACTGCTCCTGTGCAAAGCAGCAGATGGGATCCAGAGTGATGGAGCTCAAGGTCTCAAAAACAGACATGAGGAAAGAACTGTTCAACAAACTGGACAAAGGGGAGAGTTTATGGACAGAAATATATCATGGACAGCTGAAAGGGGAATAGAGAGAATAGAGGACAGGGGTAAAACACAGAGAGACAGTTGAATGTGGCCTGAGCCTGGCAGAGGCTGTCAGACAGGGAGGATGAGAGGTACAACAGGGATCTGGGACCATGAGATGAAGTAAGAGCACTTTTTGCATTTAGTTATCTTGATCAGAACAGAGTTAAAACATCAGGTCAGGCAATATGAATTAATGACTTATGGTCAGTGCGTCGTATAGTTGGCAATGCCATCAAATCAACTTGCACTTCAACAACGTCATGATGTTCAGGACATATTCCCTGCATGACTGAGTTTATGGTGCCCTCTACAGGTGACAGTGATACACTAAAGTGAGAAAACTTGCTGTTGTGACAGAGAATCTGATGCTCATTTAGCCTTCCTACAATACTGTCAGCAAACATCCAAAAATAAACTTTATATTCAGTGCAAAGAGTTGAAAGGAATTGAAATCAGTGAGCTTTGAGGCTTCTGCTATATTATTGGACATTTGGTATAGAAATGAGCACAAAAGAATCCTCCAGCATCCAAAGATATCCCATTATATGAGAAGATCTGTGGCTCTTGAAGAATAATTAGACCGAGAACGGGAAACTGCTAATTGCACCAATCATTCTTCAAGTGTTCTCCCCGAAGCTGGCTCTTAGAGGGTGTAGAGAGGCTGAGAGGAACTGGACTCGTACCAAACACCTGAGGCCACAGCGGCCTACAAAAAGCCTGGTCCTCAGGCACGGTGTGTTAGATGAACACTGCGAGGATCACATCACACAGCAGAGGGCTGGACTGGAATTAAATCAGCAAAGATTATCTGGCAGTGGTTCAGTGGAACTATTTCAATAGAAGAAATGTGCAGTGGACTGTTTTAAAGAGATCTGAGCTGTCTAACATGAGCTATATTGTACTCTACCACTGGGTGTCATTATCGGGCTGAGAGACACAGTGAAGTCAGCTCCCACAGTTCAATGGACGACAGCTGTGGTTTTTATAATGGTGTAGTAAATGTTTTGTTACGGAAAATCTGTTGGTATCAAAGATCATTTTGAGCGCTTACAGCTACGCAACCTCATGATGCATTAACATGATTTACGACGATCCACACTGCTGTTTTACTTTCACAAATTTATTTTGGCCCATGTGATGTTTGTGTTAAGTGTTAATTCTTTTCCTGTATGCATGTATACAAGAGTAAACCAGGAAGGAAAAAATTGATGAATCTGAGAAGCACAACAGAATTAAAGGCCCGAAGGTATGGGCTGAAGGCACTGGAGCAGAGCAACACATTAAAACGAGTCCATCTACTTAGCAAGCCATTCAATCAACAAAGCAAAGTCTGCCAGTGAGAGGCCGGTGACTGCAGACTTGAGGAGCCAGACTGACCACATATTGGGATACTGAAGAGATTTGGAGTGGCCAAAGTGTTTCAAAAAAAAAAAAAAAAAAAAAAAAAAACTTCTCCTTTTCCAGTTCGCTAGCCACACACACTGGGCCTTAAAGCCAAATCATCGTGGAGGGGGAGAGCCGAGAGGTCTTGGTGTCTGCCACTCTGTACTGCTACATAAAAAGAAGGTGAAGGATGCCGTGTGAGCAATTGGTTCCAATTGACAGAGGATTGGTCATGGTCAGCCTTCTGAGTGGAAATCCACGTGAGAATGTAGCATTTGGACCAGCAAGGGGCACAAGAGGCCAACAGCAGACAATGAGGGCACTCAGAGGAGTCTGGCTGCTGCAACATAGTGGGGCACAATCTTCTCTGATTTAACCCTTCATCGGCTGGTTATTCATTCAACTTAATACACCGAGATGGAGCTCATGTGGCAGAAATGTAACAGAGTTAGTGAGTAACTCATCATAGTTCAGGTAATATAATGGTAAACTGTGAAAAAGTGTCTGAACCTCAATGCATCTCTTCAAATACTTTCTATATAACTAATTAAAGATAAAGGGAGGTCGACCCTGACAATTGTGTGATAGCAATAAAGATCAAAATCAAACACTTCAAGTTTTACATTAATTGAGTTAAAGCACCTCTGCAACCTTAAGAGGCGACCCAACCATTACCGTCCTTGTGACTTTTTCGCCAATTAGGCAGGTCCTGCTCGCTGAATGGGACCGGCTGCTTTCAAAGTCTCAGAGGTCCAGAGGGTCAGCGCTCAATCAGAGTCTGGTTGGAGAGGCTGTGTGTTTGAACCAACCACTAGTTGACAGGGCGGGGATGGGGTCAAAAGAGGTGGGGGTGAGTGATTGGTCGGGGTAAGGACTCCTGCCAGCTCTAAAAGAGGAGCCTTTTGTAGCCAAAACACTGGCCAGAGCAGCCTGGCCTTTCACAGCCCAGCCGCCCCGCTCCTCCAGGCCCACAACAGCTGATGACAAGGTCCCAGCTGCTAATTATCCGGCTGATGGAGAGTCACTGAAGTGGGACTGTCAGAGCGAGGGGTGGCCCTTGTGTCTGCAGTGGGATAAATTTGAGGGAGGGGGAAGGTTGGGGGATGAAAGAAGTTGGACTACAGGGGCAGGTATTTTTTTTTTTTAAGTAGCTATCCATCGACAAAATCAATACTTCTGCCAGTCAAAGTTTGCACATTGTGATCTGTCCTGAGTGAAGGCAAAAGTGTTTTTACATGTGAATATTAGATAACATGTAAAATATATATAATCCATTTTAGCTGGTCTTTCAGTTTTCTATCATTTGTGACACTCCAGCAACAACTAGACAGTAACAAATGAATTTAATGGGGTCACATATCCAGTCTGGATCACCGAATGTACTCGACAGGGTCCTCAGTCCGGTTACTATGTAGTGACCTGTGCACCTTTCCACCGAGCGACTCTTTATGGATCCATGCTACAGCATCATCTGCCCAGAGGACACCGGAGCGGTACCTGTTGAATTCCATATGAAGTACTCTTTGGATTGAAGTTCTCGTGCTGAGAATATAAGACAGACAGAGCATTTTTTTTTTTTTACTTTCAGGGAACGTGTACACGGCAAAAAACATTTTGATACAAAAACATTGTGAGCTTACATGTTACAATCCGTGGTTTGGCAGAGGAATAAACTTGCACTGAATGCTGGTCCACGCAGCATCCAGACAGCGTCATGTCAGGCACCTTGAAATACAGCTGTGAGGATAACGGTGGATGTGTTAATCACTTAACAACCTAATGATAATAGATCCCGTAGCTGTTGAAAAGTTGTTGCGACATGCTGTAGCTGTAAATGAACAAGTCTGATCATGTGTCATGAGTCCTACAATTAAAATGGTCAATACATTAAGACCAGAGATATAGACTATGACTACACATATTAACTTACTTTGAGGTAAGCTGTAAGTTCTGTGCATAGGGGGTCAGTAGGTCCTGGCGCTGGTCCAGAGAAGGTGATCCTGCCCTCCATCGTGACCTCACGAGATCTAGGGAACTTTTGTCCTGCATATGAGTGAGAGAAATCTACGTTAGTTTCTTTTTCAAATATACAGCTGCAGTTAGACTGTGAGTGTGTTTTTTTTTATTACACTCATGCTGTGGTGCGCAGTGCCTACCCAGGGTCCAGACAAGCAGGTTCTTCTCCTTTGAAACATCCAGTTGTCCAGAGCTCACCTTCATATCCACAACACCCATCTGATCCCTACACAAGACACACACAGCCCACATGCAGACGTTTGTCACAATTATTACAAACCATGCTGAACTTACTTTGCTGCACTTTTCAGTTCCAAAAACTATTATTATAACAATTATTAAATTTCATAGGTTCAACCTCATTCATCTGGGTTTTAAATAAGAGATATTAACACAGAGGCAAGTAATGAAAGCAGATTTGACACAGAAGAACTGTTTATCTTGATTGGACCATTTTTTAAAATTAGAGAGTTTCAGCCTGTAAGAAAACCCCACAGGGACAAATGTTCTTAAAGTGCATTTAATGTGAGAACCTGAAAGTAGAATCGTCTGCTGATATGATAAATGCTAAAAGGGTTTTTTCTGTGTAAAGAGCGAGAGTATTTTATCACATGGTTGTTAGAGATCTAGGTGTTGGAGAAACAATTTATTCATCTAAGGTGAGTTACTTAGTGCACTGTCATGAGACCAGTACAGGTGTTTTGCAGAGAAAACTGTGCAGCTTAAATGAAGATGCAGGAAGGTTCTGTTTAATATTAAATTAAGGCAAAAATTCTCAGCAAAAGATTTAAAAAAAACGATAATCCCTGACGTTTCTTATGTTACTGTAAAATAAAGAATCATCTCATTTATAGTCTTTTTTTATAACAAGCTGGAAGTGATTTCAGATTGTTTTTCTGGAATAACTAGGGAATGTGGACATCAGTACTTAAAAAGATTGTTCAACCTACTTGAAAATTACATTCATTAATTATCCATCTTCCATATCTGTACATTTTGATTTTGAGGCTCTTAAACCAGAATAGCATCCTAAAGAAGTTGATGTTAAAAGTGTTTTGATTGAAGAGACCTTTACTTCTAATTAGCTGGTAAGATCACAAGCTAACTCAAAAGATGACACGGATAATGACGCACCAAACCTCTTTGCTCTAACCGGAAACACAAACTTATGAGTTCTCCCATCAAAATAATTCTCTCCTCTTGTGCTGTTTACCTGTTAAAGAAGGGCAGGTGTGCTTCACAGTACTCAAAGCTATTCTTCACACTTTCATGAAGTTTGAGGGTTACCAACACACGCAGCTGGTTCTCTTCTTCCTTCAGTTGATAGGATCCAAGGAAAGGGGGAACAGGAACCTGTCGATCAAATTGGAAAAGTTAACATAGCAATACTAATGTGTGGAATTAGAAGTATGTAAGTAGGAGTTGTATGTCCTCTACCTGAGATGTGTAACTGCACAGTCTGAAAGGCTCCAGAGGAGGAGAGAAGGGGAATTTATATGGCCCAGAGAAAGCTGAGCCATCATAGTTATCTACACTGCTGGCAGTCAGGATACTAGAATCCAGCGAGGTGACACAGGGATGCACCAGGATGTCCTGCAGCGGAGAACCATTTGGTGGCAGTGTGAGGGTCACTGTCACATTTGGGAGTACTCCCTCCACTTCACACTTTTGAAAGATGAGGGGAAAAAAATATGTTGAATAAAGGAAAAGTTTTACTGTATAACATTATTTGCTTTCCTTTCCACTGTGAACTTACTTTGCACGTCACCGTGCCGAAAACATCCCAGAGGTCCTGTCTGCTCTGGTTGCCATACTGCATGGAGCGTACTGTTTCTATCAGTGCTACATTCACAACAGCCCGACCGCGGTGGAGCCCAGTCTTCCAGGCCGGCTGCTTCTGGTTCCCAGCAGGTGTGGGCATTGTGGGCGTAGCAGGTGCCCCCAGTACTGGCACATCCAGGGGTGTGCCAAGTGGACAAACCTGCAGGAGCACAGAGGGCAGCATTGCCAGGCGAGAGACCAGCCCCTCACCATCAGGCTTACTCCCCGAGCCGAGGAGAAAAGTCTGCAGGCCTTCCAGGAACGTGAGGCCCTGTGAGACTGACAGCAGGTTGGCAAGGGGTGGCCGTGGCTCAGGAGGGACATCCACTAAAGACAGGCAAGCCAGGATAAGAGGCCCTTGTGAGATGGCCAACACCGGCCAAAGTGTCCCCTTTCCAGGACCATCCACACGCAGCTCCAGGGCTGGTGACCGCTGGTGGTGAAGGCAATCATCTCTGAGAGCCACATAAGACTTGTCCGAGTTTGAAAGGCCCAGCTCAGTGAGCAGGAGCTGCAGTACAGTGCTTTCCTCTGGGACTGCTACATATGAGGAACCTGCCAGGCGCTTCGCACGGTGCTCCACGGTGGAAAACCTCCTGTTGGGGGAGACACAAGACATTATAACACACAGCAGCCCGCAAGCAGTGTGACGGCAGAGGTTTTATGACTCCACACCGCTGCTCTATTCCTCTATATTAAAGTTAACGGGAAGTGTATCAATGAGATCAATTATCAAACCTTGAAAAGCGTATCGACACATTTTCTCCCTTCTCGTGAGAAATAATCCACAAAGCACGCACGCTCATTGGTCCTGCTGCACTGAAGTCCTCAATTAATGAAAGATTCTGATTTACACATGTCAATAATCACATTTTGTCCTGCAATTGCTGAATTCAAATATTCCTGGCTGTGTGATTTATACTAACGCAGCGACCAACTTCCTGCTGTTGTTTCATGTGACAACAACCACCAATCAGCCGACATACGCGCTTGCGCACTTGCACGCAGCTATCCCCACCCTACTCTCCCATACAGGAAGCTGGACTGCTAACCAGCTAGCTGTCAACAAAGGGCAAAACTGTACCAAATCAGCAAATCGATGTGGAAGTCGGCGGTGTTGCCGACACTGAGCTCCTTCTCCTGAATTGTATTTCACTACGCCGCCAGCTGAATCTTGAACATGGCGACAACTGCTCAGCTGTTCGAGGTAAAATGACCGGAGCTGTGTTAGCTGTCAGGTTAGCTAGGTTGCTAACTATCGTTAACGGTAGCTTAACGGTACCGTCTTTATCCATCCTCTCAGTGTGTAACTAAGGATTAATAATTACTCACAGGTGGGAACATGTTGGCGTCATGTTGTAAAAAACTAGACAGAAAGCAGGTCGATTACTGTTTATTTAGAGTCCTATAAATCGAGGAAATGACAATGTTATTGGCTGTTAGTTTGCATTGTCCCGTTAACGTCTTACCGGTTGTGTGCTTTTACCAATAATAATAATTTTAATAACTTGAGTGTTTGGCTGATCGTATATAACCAGCAGTACACACATGACTTTCTCTCCCCCAGGAGCCTTTTGACGCTGATGAGTATATTGAAAGGTTGGCATGGAGGACTCCTGGAGGAGGCTCCAAAGGAGGAGCTGAGGCATTTGACCCCAAAAGGTACTGTAGGAGCTTTTTAATAATATTTGCAGCACATATTTCAATTGCTCATGAATGTGAGGCAGTAGCTCAGTGGAATCCCATACCCCAGGTTTTAACCTTGTATAGTGACAGTATCACTGCAAATGTGGTACCTGCCCACTAAATACATTTCTGCGCTCTATCAGTTTAAAAACAAAACATTGGTGATGACAAGTCAAGAGCATTGTTTTGAAAATGAACAACAGACAGATACTTTTCTGTGTAAACTGCTCTCAGAGCCATTGAACTTTATTTTCTTGTATGTAAATTTAGCTGGAACACTTATAGGACAAAATCAGTTCTCAGAAAGATGCTTTGTTCATGAAGTTATAGTATTATAACTTCTTAATATGCAACACAGCTTTTCTACTCCTGTCCACTACCAGTAGAATCATCTCCATAACAATGCAACATCTTGGTATGATTTCATACTGTCCTTCTGGCCTGTTCCACAATGTAATTCATGCCCCAGCTTTTCATATTTTCACCTAGGTTGATTAGATGCTGAGATCAGGTCATGTAATGTTAATTAACCAGAAAATGCCTATCACTGTGCACGTTATTCCAATATCGTACTTGTTGATAACTTCTGAAAGGATCAAGCGCAAAGATGCCCATTTTTGAATTTGGTTTCAGAAAGTTCACTGGAAAACAATTAAATTGATATTAAATTGAAAATCTTTTAATATAAATTATGATTTCTTCATTTACTGCTGCCACTATCAACTTGCTAAATTCTCTAAATGAAAAGGTGTCAGTCCTTTTACACTTACGAAAGCTCATCTTGGTCTCCTCCATGCTCATTTAGTTTTTGATGGTTGGGTTGGAGAAAAACTGGAAATGTCTGTGTCTAAGAATTTTTTTTTCATAGTATTTTTACTGCTTGTTGTTGTGTTTACACTTGGGGACCAAGTTACAATCGTAAGCAAAAATGCCATAACAGTTTAACTGTACTGTAGATCCATCCTGCCTTATCTACTTCCTTCACAAAACTGTTGCCACCACCTCCTCGGAAGCTCTTAGCGAGGAGTCAGAGACAACATATCTGTGGAGGCCACCATACTGTGAGTCACCAGCCAGGGAATGAGTGTCTATTGGGAAGGGATGGGAGATGTCTTTAAGCTGTAGCCAGTGCTGAGGGAATTAGTCAAGAGATTATACACTCATCATTTTGGGATGTTTCCTACTCTGTGAAATGTGGTGCTGACTTAGAACATTTGCTCTGCAGTCCTGATGACACTTAAAATGCAGCTGACGAAGCTGCTAGTTCCCAGAGCTTCTTAAGTCTGGGCACCCAGGAATTAAGCATCCGGTGCTATTCTGTATCTATTAACTATAACTGTGAGGTCAGTGGGACAGATTTAACCTTGTGGTCTGCAGTTACTCCTCAAGAGTAAGAGCAATATTTGTGTGTTTTACCAGATGTTTGATGATTTTTTTTACTGGATCTACATACTTTCTCTCCTTTGTGTTAGGCTGCTGGAGGAGTTTGAGAACCACATAGAAGAGCTGAAGCAACTGGATGAGAGGATCCAGCGGCGGGTGGAAAAGCTTGAGCATCAGTGTCACCGTGAGGCAAAGGAATTTGCCCACAAAGTGCAAGACTTGCAGAGAAGCAACCAGGTGTGTTGTGTGGTCAAATATAACCGGTAACATCAACACTTACCTGAATGTCTTTGAGCTTTAAAATATTTTATCATTAATCACATATCAGAATTTCTTGATCTTTACTCCATATCTCCACTGTTCTGTATCGATTCAGGTGGCCTTTCAGCATTTCCAAGAACTAGATGAGCATATAAGCTATGTGGCCACCAAGGTTTGTCACCTTGGCGACCAGCTGGAGGGGGTGAACACACCCCGGCAGAGAGCTGTGGAGGCTCAGCGTCTGATGACCTACTTCAACGAGTTCTTGGACGGAGACCTACGCAGTGACGTCTTCAACAACCCAGACAAGGTGAGTATGCTGCACACGTTCCTTCCATTCACTTCAGTGGAGGTGTGCGTCTGTGACCATTGACGAGGAGCCCTGCTGTGATACTGCTGGAGGTGAGAATGAACAGGATTAGGAGGTAAACCATCCATATTAATTTGTCAAGTTTATCCCTTTAGTTGGATCCCTCGGCTAATTTGGATTAATAAACTGTCATTTGCTGTCTGACAATAGCTGGCTGATTGACTCGCATGGATGTCAACATGCTCATGTCAACCCTAATTGCATTTACAGTAGGTTGTCTGGGAGCGAGAATTTAGTTGGTCCTCAGCTTTGTGTCGCATTACAGCAGCAAAGAGCTTGTGGCATGATGGTACATGTAAGGGCGGCGATAACATGGATGCTGTGAGATGAGGTGCACACTTTGACATAGTTCCTGCCTACACAGAGGCCATGTTGATGTTAGACAAGTGACCCCTGAAAGTTGGATTTTGCAGTTTTGTAAGTGACAACGAGAGATTGGGATGCTTTAGATTAATTCCTGTTAGTAGGAACATCATTAGTGGATGCAGAGCAGTGAGTCTCGGGGTCAATCCCAGAGACGAGAGCTGGAGATGGAGCTAGTTTTCTGGAGAGGCATGCAGAAATATCTGGCCAGATTCCTTTTCCTGAGCATACCTCCAGACGAGGGGGAAAGAGGAAAGCTGCAAGTGAATAGCTGAAGGGGGGTGGCTTTGCTAATCCTTCTGAAAGGGAGGGCTGGGCCGCCAGCGTGGAGACAAGTGCTGCTAAACCCTGACTGCAGGGAGACGGCTACATTACTTACATGGGATTTAGCTAATCTTAGCTGGGGGACAGATACTTAGAAAACCTTCGCCGAGCAGAAAGGCTGGATCCTCCTCACGGGAGCAGAGTAATGATGTTAGCTGAGGCAGGCATCTGCGGGAACAGAGGAGTTGCGGACGGCGGGCCTTTCGTAGGTCTGGGGCTTTTTCAGCCAGCGTGTATGTCAGGAGGGGCGGGGGGAGGGGGGTTCTCGACAGGGTCCCCTTTTTTTAGACAGATATCCCTGGCCGGACAGATTATTGAAGGCGATTTAGACTCCTGTGGGATTACAGCCCATTCAGAAAAGGCATGCCAATAAAGAGTTGGATGTGCTGCTAAGTCAGGACTGCTGCTGTTGCTGCTGCCGATGCCCAGGTGAGCGCAGCCTGTCTGTTATCAGCTCCCTGTTCAACACGGGGAGGTGGAGGAGGGCTGCTCTAAGATGATGATCCCCCAGTGGAGACACTGCCGGCGGCCTGCCCGCTTTCTGTCTGGATGTCCACCTCTCATGGTCCTGTCGTGCTCTCTCTCTTTTCTCCTCACCTGACATCTCTCTCTCTCTTTCTCTCTCTCGCTCTCTCTCTCTCCCTGACACGCACACTCTCACACACTGTCCCTCTCCCCTTCAGATTAAGGAGGCTGCTGATATCATTCAGAAGCTGCATCTCATTGCCCAGGAGCTGCCATTCGACAGGTGAGTCAGGCATCCTGGAGGCAGCTTTAGACAAGAGCACTGTCTAACAAGGGGAATGTGGTGTATTAGAGGTGTCGACTATTCCTCACAGTGTAAGCCCATTGCAGGAAGTATTTAAGCATCTAAATTCAGTATCAGTATGTTTCTAGAAATAAAATGCACGTTAGCTTTTAACATTAATAGTGAGATGTTATTTGTAATTGTCCAATTTATTGTGTTTTTCTCTGACAGATTTGCAGATGTCAAGGCAAAAATCGCTAGTAAGTTTGTAACAAAACTCATTATGCACCGTTATCTGCACTGCAAAGTCCCTATTGAAAAATACAATAAAAGTTGGCTACAAATGATAATATTATTTTTGTTTTTCTTTGTGTTGTTTTTTTTTGCGTTTCTATCCAGGTAAGTACCATGACCTGGAGCGGCAGTTAATCCAGGAGTTCACCGCTGCCCAGCGCAGGGGTGAGATTGGACGTATGCGGGAGGTTGCAGCAGTTCTATTACATTTCAAGGTGACTTGGAAGGACTTGTTGTCTACATTTGATTTTTGTATATATTTGACATGATTTACAGTCTTGAGAGTGATAATTGACATGGCCACTTGATTAAACATGTTGTTCTGAACTATCGCCACTTGAGTTAAAAGTGACTCCTGTGTCTTTTTTGTACTAGGGCTATGCACATTGTGTGGACGTCTATATCAAGCAGTGTCAGGAAGTGAGTGTAAAAAGTTTCTCTTGTACATCATATTCCACTTTTTGAGGGCCGGAAATATCCACAGTCTCTTGGTTAAC